CACCTCAACCCGCCTCAAAGCCAACGCTGATTGGACGTTCGTTTGGTGAACGGCTCCAAATTTTCTTTAACGGAGAGTCTCCAGACTGATCTGCAAGTGAAACCTGTGGAGCGCATGTGGTCGGCACACAACAGTTTCACCAGTTCAAGGATAAAATCTCTGCGTCAGACGGTGACGTTGAAACAGTTCCTGAGCAAAACCAACGTGTTTTTTAGCTGCTATGTTTCAGGAGATCGAAAATAAATCCACACGCCACCTTTGCTTTTCCAGAATCCTTTCTAATCATCTGATCCAACACATCCAGGCCCACCTCTGTGTGGTTATAGTAGACCATGAGCTCTGGTTTGGCTTTGGGCCGCTGAGTGGACCGGCTGAGGTGTTGAACAAAAGTTTCCCTGTTTTCTGATTGGTCGCTGATACGTCTGCGTTGATCATCCTCAGACTCGCTGTCAGAATCTGAGCCGCTTCCTCCCCAGTCCTCCTCATCGGTCCGTCCCTCACCGCCAAAATCGCCATCATCAATATTTTGAAGCATTTCTAAAGCCTGTTTGTCTGTTAGATTTCTTCTGAAAGCCATTTTTCCGTATTAGCCAAAGAGTTTTAGGTGGAATGTTGGTTATCAAAAAAACTAGATGAAAATTAAGGAAATATAGAAACAGGAAAAGTCAGTTAACATGACCACCATAAGATTACTGTAAATAAAGTTCTTCCCCTTTAAAATCTTTAAAATGACGGTTCTGAGATTTGGTTTGTTGCTTTTCTTACTTAAAATCTTCCACTGTTTTGCAGATGGTTGCAGAAGAAAAGTCAGAAGTCGTGATGCAGCTCTCTGATGATGAGGAGGAAGATCTCTGCAGAGTCTGGGATATGGCCATGGACAAGGTGCAATCTCCTCCATGTTTGATTAATGATGGATTACAAAGAAATCCTAAAATAAAAATACTTAAAAACATAAAAATATTATTGTACTAAAGAGTGTTTTGAAGCACTTTTCAAAGATTGTCTTTTTATTAGATTGTTGTAAAATATGATGCTAAATTGAACACTAGAACTCCAGAGGCCGTCATTTTCACAGTTCTGAGAAGGGAAAGAACTTTATTTACATTAATCTTATGTTGGTCATGTTAACTGACTTTTCCTGTTTCTATATTTCCATCATTATCACATAGTTTAAAAAAAATAAATAAATAAATAAATATGGTTAATTTGACCTCAATCTCCCACAGCTGTGATTTTGACGTCCCTGTTAATCGCATTTTAAATTCTTCCCACATGTTCTGGTACTGTTGCCTAGCAACCAACATTCTACTTATAACTCTTTGGCTAATATGGAAGAAAAAAATGGCTTTAGAAATGCCTTCAAAATATTGATGATAGATGGAGAGACCGATGAGGAGGACTGAGGATGATCACCCACCCCCCGAGAAAAGGCAGATGTATCAGTGATCATCAGTAAAAAGTTAATCTTTAGTTCAAGTTTTGGATAGCGCTGCCACCACCTGCCGGTCCACTCAGCGGCCCAGAAGCCAAACCAGAACCTGTGGTCGGCTATAATCACACAGGTTGGCGTGCAAACCTCATGTGCTCTGCAGGTGAAGAGCAGCTTTGGCGAATAAAAGGAAACAGCGCCAAGACGCTTCAGCGCTGCACAGTATGAAAGCTTGTTTCTGCCACTCTGTAAAATAAAATAAAAAACAAGATTATCTCGTTATATTGAGATAGTAACTTGATATAATGAGATAATTTTTTCTTTTTTTTACAGAGTGGCGGAAACGGGCTTCCATAGCACAGAAAAACGCTCATATGATGTTTGTCATAAATGTGAGAAGGTGGTCTGTAGGAAATGTGCGGTGGGAATCGATCAATATCTGTCAATAAAATTGTAATTTCAAACTTCGAACCTGTGTAGTAAAACAGTCTTATTTATTTTACTGATTTATTTCTAATATAAATTTAGACCACAATTAATAATAGCGTACAATACAGCCTTTAAATATATTAGAGCTGAAATAAAGGTTTACATATCCAAAATGAGTTTATATCGAACTTATGAACCGTTTCAGTCGATGACATCATCACTGCTCATGCGTTCCATGTGGAAAAATGTCACCCATCAAATTGACGGCCAGTGGGAGTTCTAGGATCAGGATACTGGGAGTTCTGGTGTTAATAGCATAACCTGAAAACCGGATTGTTTACAGTTTTCATATTTACTGCTTAGGATGTTGCAGGTTTTTTGCAAGAATTCAAAGCGGCTGACATCCTACTTGGAATCATAGCCAAATCTCGTTCCCCACGTCTTACGGTGAGTGGAATGATCTTAACGCGTGCAAGATTTTAATCTTCTATCATAAATCTAAACTTTGTTGTATAACTAACCTATCATGTCCATGCTCTTGTCTTTTTTAATAGGAAATTTGTGTCGGAATCTTAGGAAATATTGCCTGTTTTCCTGACACATGTGCATCTCTCAGCCAAAACGATGACTTGGGGTGAGTCTGAATCCCACAGAGACACGGTTCCAGCTTGGTCTCGGATAACTAAATCCACTCCCTGATTTGTCCACAGTGCTGTGCTATTGCTTCTTCTGGGAGATGCAGACCCTCCTACCCTTCTTGAAACCACCAGGTAGCTTTCTAATCTTCCCTGATCCTATGAAAAGCACGAACCACGAGAGTCATATTAATTTCCTTCCATGTTATTTACAGACTGTTGCTGACCTGTCTGTCTCAGAAAGAAGTCTGCTCACTATGGCTTCAGCGAATACGACAGCAGACATCCGTTTGCTCCAATCTGTGTTTTATCATGAGCAGTTCTACTAACAGTACTTTACTTTTACTCTATACTTTCTATTTATTAGCTGATTACTTGCATGAATTGACAAAAAATAAACCTTTTTCATTTGGCATGATGACTTTAAGGTTTTCAGTTGTTTTTTTATATTTGTTTTCTGGTTTCTAAGCCTCCTAATCTGTCATGTGTTTTTCCAGCGGATTTACTGGAGAAAGTGGGAGAGCTGGTTGATAAACTGTTTGACCTTGATGAAGAATTAATGAAGTGCTGGCTCACATCTCAGCCGAGGGAGAAGGAGGGAGATGGAGAAATCCAGCTGGATTTGAGCTCATGTCTCCTTGAGGCAGCAAAGCAGCTCAGGTAGGAAAGTAGTTTGCTACCCTTGAAAAGATGCTTGTGCATCATTTCACGGGAATAACGCTGCCGTGCGTTACGCATAGCAGGGTTTCCATGGGTCAGTAAAAATCATTTAAAATCATTAAATTATAATTTTTTTAATTAAGGCCTTAATTGGTATTAAGATTCATAAAATGTGATGGTTGTAGCATTTAAAATGCTTTATTTAAAAAAATCTTTTAATTAAGGCCTTAATTGGTATTAAAATTCATAAAATGTGATGGTTGTGGCATTTAAAATGCTTTATTNTAAAATGCTTTATTTAAAAAAATCTTTTAATTAAGGCCTTAATTGGTATTAAAATTCATAAAATGTGATGGTTGTGGCATTTAAAATGCTTTATTAAAAAAAAAAAAAACGTTTATGAAAACAATTTCTTCACATACAGTGGGGAGAACAAGTATTTGATACACTGTTGATTTTTTAGGTTTTCCTGCTTGCAAAGCTTGTAGAAGACTGTAATTTTTATCATAGGTACTCTTCAACTGTGAGTGATGGAATCTAAAACAAAAATCCAGAAAAATACAATGTATGATTTTTAAATAATTTCCATTTTAATTGCGTGAAATAAGTATTTGATACACTAGAACAACGAAACTTAATATTTGGTACAGAAACCTTTGTTTGCAATTACAGAGATCAGACGTTTCCTGTAGTTCTTGACCAGGTTTGCACACACTGCAGCAGGGATTTTGGCCCACTCCTCCAGAGGCTTCAGTTTCGGGGCTGTCGCTGGGCCACACGGACTTTAAGCTCCCTCCAAAGATTTTCTATTGGATTCAGGTCTGGAGACTGGCTAGGCCACTCCAGGACCTTAAGATGTTTCCTACGGAGCCACTCTTTAGTTGCCCTGGATGTGTGTTTTAGGTCGTTATCATGCTGGAAGGCCCAGCCACCACCCATCTTAAGTGCTCTTACTGAGGGAAGGAGGTTGTTGGCCAAAATCTCACCATACATGGCCCCATCCATCCTTCATACAATATGGTGCAGTCATCCTGTCCCCTTTGCAGAAAAGCATCCCCAAAGAATGATGTTTCCACCGCCATGCTTCACTGGTTGATAGATGATCAAATACTTATTTCACACAATAAAATGGAAATTAATTATTTAAAAATCATACATTGTATTTTTTCTGGATTTTTGTTTTAGATTCCATCACTCACAGTTGAAGAGTACCTATGATATGACCTTTCCCATTGAGTTGCGTCCCAGTGTTCACGGGGATGGACGTCTGCGTCTTCGGCAGGCGTAGAGCTAACAGAA